TGGAGATTATAAAAAGTAATTACACATCTGAGTGCTAACTGTTTACTGTTTAATCATTTTGGGGAATCTTAATATATTGTATGCATAGTAATACTGCCAAGATGGAAAAGACAGATAAAATCACTACTGTGCAATTAAAATATTTTTTTCCGTATCGGTATCTAACAGCTTAGAAACTCCTGTTCTCTCTCTTTTTGCCTTCACTGGACAGCCTTAAATCATGCAAAGGATCATTCCTTCCATGCACTAGAACCATGCAGCTTACTACTAGCTCTCCTGTTCTTAAATCATCATGAAAATCATCTACTTTATGCTAATGAGGACTTTATTCTCTAAGCAACAGAGAAAGCAGTTGCCATGCGACAAGAATGAGATCAGCAACCTGTAACATCTTCACAGACGTACAAACTGGAGGTGCTGCCATAGCTTGCCTCCTTCAGGCACATGAGAGTGCGCTATTTTTATTTACTCTGTAAAATATTTCACATTCAGCACGTAGAGCTTTAACCTAGTGTACTGAAATCCAGTACTACTGGATTGAAAAGGCTTTTCCAGCACAGAAATCCACTTCCAACAATATTTTACTAAGTGACAGGCACAGTTGAATGTGACGTACTGCTTGTTTTTCCACAGTTAACGGGACACTTTTTGTATTCTGCTAAAAAAGAGGTGACTGAACAGCAGCAGAAAGGAAGGCCATTTTCATCTGCTGCCCAGCTGCTGTGTGCTGGGACAAGCAAAGCCTTTCAGAAGGAGGAGGACCCGCTTCTTCCCACTGAGTATTGGAGCATGTTAATCTCGAGGCAAGTTCAGGGACACAGGACAGTGTGGGGAGAAGCATTCCTATTTCATCTCACTTACCAGACCTGACTATTGTCTATTTTAAAAGTTACACACATCCAGTTTATTAGCTTGCATTCTATCAAGCACTTTTTCCTGTGCTGGGAGGCAAGGTGGGGGTGTTGCACTTTACACGAGACAGGCTCTGCCTTGTCAGAGGTCAAGTCAGGAGCCAGTCAAGAACTTATGAGCGCAGACCAGCAGGCAGACCAACATTCATGCTGTTGTAGTGAGTATCTACTGGAGACCTCCCAAGCAGGATGAGGCCTGTAGATGAGGCCTCCTTCAAACAAATGAAAGCAGTCTCACATTCACAGGCCTTCATCCTGATGAGGGACATTCACCAGCGTGGTATCTTCTGGAAGGACAACACCGCAAAGCACAAGCAATCCAGATTTATGCAGTGCATTGATGACAACTTCCTGACAAAGGTGATCAAGGAGCCAATAAGGCAAGGTGCTCCGCTGGACCTCATGCTTACAAGCAAGGAAGAAACAGTCGGGAGCAGCCTTAGCAGCAGGGACCATGAGATGGTGGAGTTAAGGATTCTGAAAAAAAGGGAGCAAGGCAAAAGCAAAACCACAGCCCTGGTTTTCAGGACAGCAGACTCTAATCTCTTCAGAGATCTGCTTAGAAGAATCCCATGGGATACACAGAGCAGACAGTTCCAGGCAAGTTGGTTGATATTCAAGGATCACTTCTTCCAAGCTCAAGAGAAGTCCATCCTGACAAATAGGAAATCAAAGGCAGGAGGCCTGAATGGATGAGAAAGGAGCTCCTGACTCAACTCAGACACAGAAAGGAAGTGTACAAGAGGTGGAAGTAGAGGCAGATGACCCAGAAGGAGTATAAAGCTCTCATCCAATAGTGCAGGGATGGGGCTAGGAAAGCCAAGGCTCACCTGAAGTGGAATCTGGCAAAGGACGTGAAGGGCAACAAGAAAGGATTCTACAAGTACATAAACAGCAAAAGGAAGAGTGGGGAAAACATGAGCCTGCTGCTGAACAGGACAGGGGATCTGGTGGCAAAGGTCACAGAAAAGGCTGATGTACTGAATGCCACCTTCACCTCAGTCTTCACTGGTAAGATCAACTTTCAGGATTCCCAGACCCCTGAGACCAGAGGGAGTCTGAGGCAAGGAAGACTCACCCTTGGAGGAAGAGAATCAGGTTAGGGAGCACTTAAACAAACTGGACACACATAACTCCATGAGGCCTCATGAGTTGCATCCATGATTTTTGAGGGAGCTGGCTGATGTCCTATCAATGCCACTCTCCATTATCTTACAAGGGTCATGGTGACTGGGATAGGTTCCTGAAGACTGGAAGACAGCAAATGTCAGTCCTCTCTTCAAGAAAGGCCAGAAGGAAGGTAACTACAGGCTGGTCACCCTTACCTCAGTCCCTGGGAAGGTGATTTAGCAGCTAATGCTGGAAAGCATTTCCAAACACAAAAAGGACAAGCAGGTGATCAGGAGTAGCCAGCATGGACTAGTGAAGGGGAAATCATGATTAATCAACCTGATTGCCTTCTACAATGAGGCAACCAGCTTTGTGGATGAGGGGAGAGTAGTGGATGTTGTTTACCTCCACCTTAGTAAGGCTTTTGACACTAACTCCTATAACGTTCTCATAGATAAGCTGCAAAGTATGGGTTAGATACATGGACAGTGAGGTAGACTGAGAACTCTCTCAACAGCCAGGCCCTGAGAGTTGTGACCAGTGGCACAAAGTCCCATTGGAGGCAAATGAATAGTGGTGTACCCCAGGGCTTGAAAGCGGGGCTAATACTATGCAATTTCTTCATTAATTACCTGGACAATGGGAAATATTGTGCCGTCAGCAAGCTTCTAGCTGACATAAAACTAGGAGGAGCAACTGATAGGCTGATGTATCAGATGGGTGTGCTGCCATTAAGGGACATCTTGACAGGCCAGAGAAATAGGTCAGCAGAAACATCATGAAGTTCAGCAAAGGGAAGTGCAAAGTCCGGCATCTGGGGAGGAATAACCTGAGGCACCACTGCACACTGGGGACCAGCCAGCTGGAAGAGAAGAACCTGCAAGAGCTGGAAGAGAGAATGGCCTTAAGATGCTGGTGGAGAGGAAGATGACCATGGGCTGCAAAAGGAATAATGCTGTCAGCAGCTTGAGGGAGATGATCCTTCCCCTCTGCTCAGCACTGGTGGGGCCAAATCTGGAGGGTCCAGTTCTGAGACTGAGCTACTGGAGAGAATCCACTGAACAGCCAGGAAAAGGGACATCTATATGGGGAGAGGCTGAGAGAGCTAGGACTGTTCGGTCTATAGAAGGCTCAGGGGGAGATGTTATGCATGTGTATAAATACTGAATGGGAGGGAATGAAGCAGAGGCAGCCAGACTTCTCAGTGGTGCTCACTGACAGGCCAAAAGGCAACAGGCACAAACTAAAACACAGGATATTCCAGCTGAACACAAAAAAAACAACCCTTCTTTACTGTGATGGAGGTCAAACACTGGCACAGGCTGTCCAGAGAGGCTGGGGAATCCCCATTCACGGAGATATTCAAAACTGCACAGGATCCTGGGCAACTCTCTCTCTGATCCTGATTGAGAAGGGAGGTTGAACTAGATGACTTCAGGAGGTCCTCATCAACTTCAGTGATTCTGTGATTCTTCCTTCCTTCTTTCTCCGTATCCCTTGAAATTCAGTTCTCTGATAGGAACTCTGACTTAGTAAACTTTTTTCCTTCAGGCTGAATGCCTTGCTTACATTCAACAGCACGCATTTCTACAGAAATCACTTGGAAATAGGAATAGGTATTCATTCTAATCAAATTATTAAATGATCTCAAACACTGTTTTTGAAATGGCCTTAGCTCATTTAGTCCTGCCACAATTTAATTTAAGAGTATTCTGTGAATATAAAAATCAAGAAACATACTGTACTCAGCTGGGCTCGTGGTCTTCTTGAAAAAGTCTCAGTCTTACCTCTACACACTCTGAGTACAGTTACATCCACTTGCTTGTTTAAGACCTCTCACTGATATCTGAGATACATCTGAATGAACACAGTAACACCAAGTGTTACACAGACATAGACAGATAAAACCACACACAAAATTACATACAGCAATATTGCTTACTGCCAGTTCAGAAGGTAGTCAAAGACATTATTTGATCTTTTAACCTTTTTCAGTTAATTGCTCATTCTGTATCACTGAGGCCTGTTCTTGCCTACAGACACTAACATCATAGAGAAGTGAGCAAATACAGGTCTCGTCCCTCATATTTATCAATTAATTAGCAGATTAAATCAAGATTAACTAAAAAGTAACACTACTATCTTCCAGTACTTTTTCAGTGCTTCTGTAAGCTGGGGGCAGTGGGGTGTTAATAAAAATGACGCCTTTTAAACCTCCTCAACTGACTTAATTACATAACATACATTATAGATGAACTAAAGATTGCCACTTTATTTATTCTAATCTTATATATCTGCTATCTGACCCATCGTGGGGGAATCAAAACGTTTTTCTCCATAGAGAGAGAGAGTGAGCAGAGAAAATCTGCATCTCAAAACAATGATGCACAGAAAACAGAAGAGGTATTCTTGGAAGGGAGCGAAGGAGGGAGGGAAGGACGGAGCTTTTGTAACACACTTCCTTAGCTTAAACAGCAACAATGTGTCTTAAGATGCAAAATCCAAACGTGATCTTGTAATAGTGAAACTTAAAAATGTATTAATCCATAGTTATAAGGAGACACATTTGATCAAGCCTTAATCTAGAATTCAACTGGGATTTTTGCAAAGTTACACACAGATTGATACTCTGGTTCCTTCATTGCAGTCTAAGTATCTAATCCTCCTCCAGTGAAATAAATCAGAGACATTCCAAAATAACCACTAGAAGTTGGATGAGATCCATACAGAACAATATTAAATACCAAGCAGTCTATTCCGTGCTGCAGACTGTTTATTTTTAATTACACAAAATATATGTAAAAAAACTTTAATTTAAACCTGAAAGCTTCCCTAAATACCATATTTTCTGTCACAAAAAAGTCACACATGCAAACAATATAAAAAAAAAAACCTGGAAAAAATACTGATGCAAACTTTTTCTTTTACAAAAATAACTTTTTCTTTTACCTTTTACAAACAGCATTTTAAAACACTCACCAGTTTGCCACCAGTGGTCCAAGACAGGTACCCTGAAGACCTTTTTTGACCATTCTAGCGTATCGACATCACAGTGCTCACCAGCTACAAATAACGTTCTGAACCTTTAAATAAAAATAAAAATGTATGTCTTGATCTGGATAGAGAAAGGAAAACAAGATAAATTCAACAAATATCTCTGGTAGGTGTGCCAAATAAAGAGAAAAGGTCCTTCCAACTAATTAACAACTAGAATCTTCGCAATATTAATTTATGCTACTTCATACAGCACGTGAAAGTAGCTTTGTTTTCTGAATGCAAAAACCTTGGGAGATCAGAGGCAAGCAACTGATTAAATGCTCTGTACACAGGAACTAGGTAGATATTTGCTAGGCAAAACGTAAGACTCAAATACCAAAAAAGGGTCAGAAAGACTTATCAGATAAATTAGCAAAGAAATAAACAGAACTAAAAGGAAATACCTGTAGCGTAACTCTTAGTTTAAAGTCATTTTAACGTTCCATTTAAACAGATTTTAGTCTTTTTTTAAACTGTCATCTTTTTACAGGTATTTGGAAATGAGGTTTTGGAGAAAAAATGTGACATACAGCTATTTTCCTGTGGAGAGGCAGGCTACATATACATAAACAAAAAAAATAAAGTAATCCTACAAGATAATGCAAAACAGAACAACATTCAGCAGCCTTGGGTCCCTGATCGCAGTACTAGACTTCATCTCATTTCACTGGACATTCCACAGCCAGCTTTGGCATAGAAGAGATGCAACGCCTGGCAGTCCTGACAGATGTGATCTGCATGTCTGTACCACTGAATCAGGTAGTGCTATGTAAGTGGGTATTAAACCCACACACAGACTTTAACTTCAGAATCTTTTTATCAGATCCTTAGTCACACTTTATTGTCCTTCCTTAAGCATTACAAATTCCCTTCACACCCTGTTTAGCATGAGAAGGTCCTCTATGTCAATGGTAGTTTTCTTAAATATGACTATCTGTACTCAGAAGCTAGACATTACCATACATTACTGCACGCTGCCAAGGTTTTGATCTTTCTAACACTTGCACAGTAACTTCATTCACGTCACAACAGATTTTTTACACTTATTTCCTAATGAGCAATTAAAAACCTTGTTAAATTGCATATGGTGCGGCCTCACCTTCAGTACTGTGTGCAGTTCGGGGTCTCACAATTTAAGAAGGGTGTGAAGGTCCTGTAATGCATCCAGAGCAGGCCAACAAAGCTGGTGAAAGGGCTGGAAGGAACGTCCTATGAGGAGTGGCTAAAGACTTTGGGTTCACCTAGTTTGGAGAAAAGCAGGTTGAAGGGCGACCTCAATGCTCTCTACAGCTTCTTGAGGAGGGGATGTAGACAGGGAGGTGCTGATCTCTTCTCCCTGGGATCCAGTGATAGGACGCATGGGAAAGGTTCAAAGCTGCACCAGGGAAGGTTTAGCCTGGACATTAGGAAGCATTTCTTTACCAAGAAGGTGTGCAAACACTGGAACAGGCTTCCTAGGGAGGTGGTCGATGCCGCAGGCCTGTCAATGTTTAAGAGGCATTTGGACAATGCCCTTAATAACGTGCTGTAACTTTTGGTCAGCCCTGAATTGGTCAGGCAGTTGGACTAGATGGTCGTTTCAGCTCTCTTCCAACTGAAATATTCTATTCTATTCTATTCTACTGTAAAGTCACAGATAGTCATGACACTGGCCAGACAACACCACCTAATAAGATACTAAAGAGAAGAATCATTTACGAACTTGCCCTCACACCTCCAACAAAGAAATAAGCAATCCTCTTCAGGTAGAAATACAGAACATTTAATTTAGGTTCACGATGTACAGATGAAAATGAACAGCCAACTCTACTCAGATGAACTGCTGATTTATATGCAATACTTTTTCATTAATACATGCCTGGTTTTATAGTCTGTGTTGTGACAGCATGGTTTCTGTTGACAGCAATACAGAGTATTTATTGTATTTGGCTCCTATTATACAAAAATCATGTCTATGCTGAACTAGTTCTCTAGGCTTCTTCTATAGTCCACAAAGAACAACAGGCAACTTCAGAGAGTAATTTACCTTTAAGAGACTCAGAAGGATAAGGTTTATTTTTTACATAACAAAAATAAAATGAAAATCAAAATGAAACAAAATGCAAGGCCTTAGAGCAACATGTAACTAATACATGACTAAGCTACAGTATAGAGACTTTGTTAAGTTACTGTTTAAAAAAATAGCAACAGACACAGCTATTAAGTTCTTGTGTTACAATTTGGAATGGATGCTCCTGCATCTCAAAAGAAGGAAATCAAGAATGTCCAAAAGCTTCGGACATTCTAATTTTGCTGCTTAAACATGTTCCTATTTCAGCAAGATTTTGAAACAGAAAACATTTATTTGGGAAATAAAATCTAAACCAGAGGGAAATTTAAGACATAACATTTCTGGTTTTGTTTCACAGATAAATCACAATGGAAAGCTGCACCTCCTTCCCCAGAAGGCTGGTGTGGCAATCTGAAACACTTCAGCCACATCAGTGCCTGTTTGTAACCACCAGCTGCAATCCTGCCACAAGGAATAATGTAAATTCTGAATACAGAGCCACCACACACATGCCCTATTACTACAGGCCAAAGAACTTTCTTCCCTTCTGTAATATCCGCAGAGGCTGGGCTCATCCCTTCCCTCTCTCAAATTCTCCCTATTCAGCATATGACCAACAAAGACAGCACTTTCATTTTATCCAGAGATGCAATTTAAAATCTCAGAGAGTTGAAGGAAGAGAGGAGAGACAAGAGGCAAACTCCCCATCAGAAATATTTGCTGTTTACTAGCAAATAACCTCTTCCCTTCTTTGAGTGAAAGCGTACAGGTATACTCACACTACAAGTGACTAAACATCTAATGAACAGCCTGTCATGCCAAGAGAAACTGCAGAGACAGTTTACCAAGTACTGCATCAATCCCCAAGGCTTCTGAGATGACAGAATGCCTAATTAAGATACGAACAGAGCTTCACGTGGCTCAGCATCAGACCCTGGGATTAAAAATACTTCTCCAAGATGTCCCCTTGTTAGGATTGCAGCACTCTCTACGACAGCCAGATCAATGTCCATGACATTTTGTTTCACTTCAAGTCTTCACACAGTCCACCACGTACGAAGACAACTGCCAAACAAAGGACTTGACTCTTGCCCTTCAGCAATGGACACAAACTGCATTGATTTGGTAAAACCTGTAGACTTGTGGCCACAGAAAGAGAGAATTAATAGATACGGCAGGCATGAAACAAACTTCAGAGGAATGCAATTCAGAAAGAAAACCACAAGATTCATCTTTCCATGTAGATGAAATCCACAAAGCAATTGAGGAAATTATGAGAAAAAGCAGAGCAAGTAACTCAAGGGCATCAGAAATGAGAAAGAGAAATGCATAGATAAGCTTGTCTGACTATAGAGCTGGGAATACCTCTAACAAGGAACCCAGAGATTGACCTCTCATCTAGACACCCCATAATAAGGCTGCCCAAACCAAAAAGCATACATTGAGTATTCATGCTCCACTCCTCTCCAGTGGATAGGCAGATCCCATTAGCATTACAGGCAGCCTCTCACAGTGTAAGGACTAGGGACCTACTTGCTGCATAGATGTAAGGCACGAGAATGTACAGACTAAAGCTACATCTGGAGACAACGTAAGTAAAACATGGGATGAAACATCATGAAGTGCAATAAGCCATGAGCCCTAAAATTGAACAGTTTTTTTTCACAGTGACGCTTGGCTTAGATATCAAAATTTGATGAGTTTATTGTCTTTTAGATCCATTTAGAGACCCATAGTTAAAACACAGGAAAAGAAACTTCCACAAGCACAAGTTACTGGGAATTCTAATCACCAAGGTAGAGACTCCTGCGCAAGGTAAATACAATAACCTGAGAACAGTCTTATCTGTGAACTAAGTGAAGTAACAATCATGGAAGTAGCCATAATAATAACTCTGAAATATGAAAATCAACTTACTGCACATCTAGTTACAAACTTATGAAAGTCAGAAGATCTCGAAAAATGTTACCATGTTGATTTTGAACATGCAGATGAAAGAATTCAACTTCCTTAATTTCAGAGCAGTGTCCAGCCAACCCTCCTTTCTGACACACCAAGATGGCTTGGAGTGGCTTCTTTCTTGGAATGGAAGGCAGGGGATCAAATGCATAGGCAGCTTTCACATCAAATATGCATAGTTTTCTGTACTCATAAATATACAACATCATTTTGGTAAACTGCTTTCTGATCACATCTCTCAAATTAGAAAATATTATGAGTGTGACCCCAATCAATATCTTGCACCTGAATGCTTTTTATTGTCAAGCACAAGCCATGGCTGATAATTACACTTCATAGCTAACTGTAAGTTATTACACAGATAAAAGTGTATTATAGAAGAGAACAAAATATTGTACAATTAAAACCAAAAACATGTTCTTATGAAAAGTTTTTTAACACCCATGTTTACATGCATGGCACTCCTGTTAAGTGTTCAATTTACATTACATGGAATGCTCTGTAATTAGGCGTGTTAAATAGAACATTTTAGGTAGGATGTAAAAATTCAGTTTAAGAATTCATTAACTTTATTAACCGCTGAAAAATTCTGTTAAGAGTTCTTGCTTTAAAAATAGGGCTATTAAAGCCCCAAGAATTTAAAGGACTTGCTGAAAAAGTTAAGACATCATGTTATCCCTCAAGCCAAAATCAGAATTCCTCTCTTCTGAATTGCCAGCTTTAATAATCAGATTTAATAATGTGCAGGCTCAAGAGCAACCTTATGTTGCGAGAAGGAGAGGGATTAGGCTCTTTGGCAAATATACAGCACAAAATCATCAAAAAGAATACCAGAGCAAAGTGCCACAAACCTAACAAAGCATAAGAACTATGGAGTTATGTTCTCCTAACAAACAGTACCAGAAGAGAGAGATGGCAATGGTTATAAGATTTCCCACTCCGAACAATTTTTTAACAGTCCACTTAAAACTTCACAGCATGTCAATGCACCTGTTACTGCTACCATCTATCACTACAATGCAGTTAATGGGGAAGAAATATCTTAAAACCTCTCTCTTAAATAAATATGTCCTAAGATGTTGTTCCAAAAATTTACATTCGTAACATAAAATTCAGTGCAATCAAGCTTTTAGGCCCTATTCAAGAGTACAGCAGAGCGGACTGGAAGTATCACCTGATGTACAAGACAGATCCAGGTCCCTAATGGCCGTGACGCTCTCTAAATTGTTCGATAAAGCATGTACATTTTGGCGTCACTCCAAGCACAAAAGACACCACATTTCCAAACCTTTTTCCAAAAGCAGAAGTGTTCACATGGGTAATAATCTGCTCTGCCTTTTCCAAATTAAAAGATCATGGAAGTGTTTTTAATTCTGAACTGCATACTACCAGGGTTTTTTTCTGGCAAAGAAAAAACTCTATCTGCATCACATTAAATAAGCTTTTTTAACCTGAAAAGACAGCAAGGAAGGTTCATTTGCACTTTCAACATAAACTGGAAATAAAGACCTCTTATTAATTCTTAATGCACCTGTACACTGCAGACACTTAAATGTGTAAAATAAATAAATATTGTTTTCAGGTCTTCTGATTTTTCTCCATTGATGTGTTTGTTCATTTTCCTCCCTGAATAGATTTTACCTTGGTCATGAGAATCCAAGCTCTGGAGGTTTAGGTGACAGAATCAAGAGAGACACAGAACACAACCGCAGCTCAGCTCCTTCTCTCAGAGTGGGTAGTGGAGAGCTCCAAAAAGGCTCTGCATGAACACAGCTCAGGACTCCAACAGGAATGGCCATACATGGTCTACAGCAGCACAGAGTACGGGGTAGCAGGCAGAACTGCATAATGGACTTCAGTTGCCCTAAATTCTGAGTCTTAATCATGTATCTTCTAGCAGCATGTGTGAGATATCAACTATATGAGAAAGTATTTCTTTCTAACCGTTTTGAATTTGAATTTCACATCTTCTTGTTCCTGTCTTATGAGACAGAAAACAGGGTTTCTAATCTACTTTATATTCATTATTTCTGCAGGGTTTCTATGCAGTCTCATATTTCTTTCTAAAGCAAGTGCATTAATATCTGGTATCAGATGAACAAGCTAGAATCTCTAGATTCTCCTAATATAAAATGGCACAACAGTCACAACTGACCGAAAGTCAAGAAAGCCAAGTAGGCTGTAGGACACAAACTGCAAATTATGACTTTTATGTTAATCTAATCTGCTGAGTTGTTGCCCAATTTCATGAAAAACTGTCAGTTGTCAATCATATGGAAATCAGACCTAACCAGTTCATAATGTCAATTAAAGGACAAAGTGTGATTCTAAATATGAGAAGAGTTAATGGCTCGGTGTTACGGAGTTAACTCCTGAAGATGAGAACAGATTCCAAAAGCTGAACACAATATGCTCAGGTACCTTACGGTCATAGAATTTGGGTGTTACTTGTTTTTCAAACACAACAGGCAGCAATATGATCAGACAGCTTGCTTAGCAGCACTGTGTGTTATCAAAATCTAGGTCTTTAGATCTTCTACCAATATAAGGTTGAACAGAGCTTTTATCCTACAGTATCATAAACACCTCTTTTACTGTTCAGCATGTGCCGTGTTTAAGACATAGGTGACGCTTTGGGGCAAAGACAAACAAATTTCAAGATTTGACTCCAATAGCCAACAAGCTATTTGCAGCATACACATTAGAACCTTTGGAAACCTCACACAGAATACTGTGCAGAGGCCAGTGATGCCACAAGCACAGGTTCTTAAAAGAAATTTGTTTAACTTATGTCATTTCAGAACACAAGTCTTCTTATAATTCAGTTTACTCTTGTAAATCAAGTACTCCCTTGTACACTGGAAGCTGGCATTGCCGGTCAACTCTGTAATGCATCAGTAATTGTCTTTTTTAGCAGGATTTTTAAAAAGTGACATTGACCTTTATAAGTTTTATAATAGAAATTTTCAGGAATGAAATATACCATGGCGGAAACCTCATTCAGCACTGCATTCCTGGACATGTGTTTTGGAGTCTCTAGAGTAAGTAAGGATACATCTTAGCTCAGTTAGCAGAAAGACATCTCATTTCAAAGATTCTGCACCCTATAACGGAGAAGAAAGCATCATAGATCAAGTAAGTGAACTAAAAGTAAGACATTAAAAACTGAGACAGAATTCACTTGACCTTGAATGGAAACGTCCATCCAAGCAACACTCAAAAGCAACGATTTTCCTAGAATTGAAGTTTTAATCACCTGTTGGACCCCATTTCTTAACAACTGCACCTACTAGATATTAAATGCTGCACTAGAGGGTTTAGTAAAGAGAAGTCACATATCAGGGAATGACATGGCCCAAAGCTTGGTGAATTACAAGACAACTAAATCTGCAGACAAACGGAGAAGCTCATTAACTATGCACTGAATAGGAATGACGAAATACCTCTTTACATCCAGGGTAAATGATACCAGCAAGAAGACGCTTACCTGGAATTGTCATTTGGCCAGGAAATGTGACAACTTACAGAGCAGGTTAGCAGATTTTCCATTAAATTAATACTCTAAAGACAGACTAAGTCATTGTATTCATTGCCTAAACAGTGCTGAGGAGCAGCAATTAAATTTTCTAGCATCTGAATCACTTTCTTGTCAACAAACATCATAAAAGAATAGCATATTAGAGTCTCAAATGAGCTCGTTTCCTATTTCAAGGAGGGGTAAGGATTGATGATAGCACTCAAAACAGATGGAAGAAAGTAATAATGAACTTGTAATGAATACCTCAGGAATAACTTCAGCTTACTAATAAATAAAACTTTCCTGAGCAATTAAGAACGTGGAGGTCTAATGAAGCTACATGGCTTTGCATCTTCCCCTTCTCTTTGGACAAGTGTGATAAAAGATGTTCTTATGGCTGAATACTGCCTATACAGTCTGACACAGTCCTTGCTTGATGCTAAGCAAATTATTCAACTTCAAGATCAGATGTGGTCCAAACCCACATATTTTTCATTTTTAGAACGTTTGCCATAACTTGGCCTGTAGAAGTACTTAAACACTCAGACACAAGTCAGTGTGAGAGGCATTTTATTAATATAATGCTAATAACGCAATTTAACCATACTATGCTAAGAACTCTAAAGTAGTGGCAGTTCAGTGGCTCAGACTGGATATTCAAAACTAATAGAAGACTTTGACCTTAATCTCTCTGCGACTCAGCTTCCCATCTGCAAAATGCAGATAATACCACTCTCTCATCTCACAGGGGATTTGTGAGGATGAACTCCATCATGATTTTGAAGTATGCTTATGGTATAGTGACAAACACCTTAAACACATATGAGATAGCAAATACCTCAGTCTTCGGAGCACACAACCATAAACAGTAACTAAGTTATGGGAGATATACAAAACATTGACGAGCTGGTGATTAAATGAACACTAAAGATCCTGTGCACTCAGTGAAATGAGAGGTCATGTGGGAAAACAGTACAGGATCACGTAATCCAAGACTGTATTACAGGGTATAAGCACAGTGAAGTAAAATTAAGGCTGAGCAAACAATCTTAACTCAGTAAGAGCTCTTAACTTTACAGTCGTACTCTTTTTAACAGCTTTCATCTCTTCCAAACTACCAATATAAATTTACAAGCAAATACATGTACACCTAAAGTGTCAAGAATACATTTAAGTTCTGCTATATAGAGGTGGGCAAAGCCCCAGACACTCTGCTATTCTTAGTTCATCCAGCCTGTTTCTGTAAGAAACTGCTTGTAGTGTATCCTTAGCTCACCTTTTCAGAGCGTACTGCTTTCCCAAGGCTGCCTCGGGGTCCTGCTGACGGATTGCTCTAATTGCAGTTGGTGAAGTAAAGAAGGCAGCTACTTCATGCTCTGCTAGCACACGGAAATAGGCACCAGCATCTGGCGTTCCCACAGGCTTCCCCTACAGAGAGAATAATTTAAAATGTCACAAGATAAAAATACTTCATAATTCCTTGACAGTTCAAGGCTTGAACATGTAACAGTAGCGGTAGCACAGCAACAGAAGTAATTTCATGTAAGACTTTCAAGAAGGCTTTGTTAAAAATAATAATACTGTGAGTGTATTCACTTGTAGAAATAAATTCACAGGCTTTGGGCACAATCTCTTGCATGAACACAGCACATACTAGCTGCTACTTAGAAAAACAGGACAAATGGTCATGTGAATGAAAAGACAGCCACAAAGAGCTGTTACTACACTGGCAGCAGAGGGAGTCGTGTCCACATCTACCCTCTTTGCGAAGCAGCCTGTAAAACACCCAGAGTCCCACGGAGCTACGAGTCTCTGGACACAGGGGCACTGCAGCTATACCCCCATGCACAGGCCTACAGGACATAACGCCAGCTTTTTCTTACCTAGAAATTTCCTCCCAGTTCTGGAAAAATTCTCACTTAGCTGCTTACAAGTGGCTTCTTGGAACTTTTGTGCTGCTACCCCACATAAAGCCTGGAGAGAACCTGAAGATCCTTTTTCTGTTTTAGTGTGCTACCAGACTGTGGTCTGTTTTCTGGGTGGGTTTTTTTAAAAAAGTAAACATTGTCTTGAGCTAAGGGGCATAGTCGAGAGAGTTGTAAACAGAAGTAATCAGATGTGACAAATTGTCTAATGGTAAATACTACTAATAAAAAAAATTAAAAAATACTTTTACATGGTGCTGCAAATGTGAAAAGCAGTCAGCACAGGATCGTATAATCACAGTCTTACTGTATGTAATTACCACAGTGCATGAACTGCTCCATAAATATTCTGAAACTATGAAAAGATTATGATAATGTGGAATGAGTTTTAGCTCTACAGGTATTGCCATAACCTTTTCACTAGAAAGGCCACGCTTGGAAGATGAACTTTGACAAAGCACACAAGTTAGGAGAGACATACATTTTTCATACTGCAAACACTTCTTTGTCAATGCTTTATGCAAGAAGCCACAAACACAGAGAAAGTTTGACTACTGAATTGTCACCATCTTTAAAACAGTTCACCAGTCACAAGACAAATTCATATCTTCACCATCCTTGTGAAATGCAAATTTGGAATAGATAGATCAGTAAGTCCAGTGGAAAAAAAAAGCAGTATACAAAACTAATTAATACTTTTCATTTTACCAAGATATATTTGAATACCTTGAAGAATTTACTACATTCAGTATTATTATTCTGATAATGAGGCACTAGTAATACAGTTTTTGTGAAAACACATACTAAACAAATTAGTTGCCCCATCCAACGTAAAAAGCAGCATGCTGGCTGTGATGCAGGCTCACAGGAATTCATCCCTTTCCCTCTCTCCCATCTGCCCTCCCGACTGCAGTCATCCCCAGGCTTCCTCTGCATCCAGCTGTGCCTGAACACTGGCAAGAGCACCAATGAACCATTTGGCAGATTTAAAGAACGCAGGACACCTGAGGTCGGATACATACCATTGGCTTTGCAGCCCTACAGAGAGATACTGCTGGTGAGAGGAATGCTGGAGCAGAGGATCACCACAAAAGGAAAAAAAAAACAATACAAAACAGAATGCACAATTGAAAAGCCTTTTTTGTTAAAGGATGGAGCAGGCAGTGAGAAGCAAATGGAGAGAAAATAAACAAAAGAAACAGTTCCCAGCTGAAGTAGCAGGGAGGAGTATCACCAATGCCCAAAACCCTCTTTTTGCTAACAGCCTATGCTAAATTACCAAAAAGAAATGCAAGAGAATGCTATTTGCTTGCTGAAAAAAGTGAATTATGTCCTTTTTCCTGTCAGTTAATACACAGTTTCCAAAGAAAAATCTTTCACCAGACTGTCTTTAAGCATCATGCATGCAGACTTCTTGAACAACTTTCATGTGTTTGTTCATCAAAATATATCAATATTTGTTCATGACCCTATTTATTCAAGTTCATGTCATCTCTCTATGATGTTCACTACACCTGCAGATCTGTAACCATGTGGTCAGGAGTTCAAGCCCACGTCACTAAGTAACTCCAAAACAAATGGCTTCACACTGAAAAATTTCAAACTTCCATAAACTTCTCATTAACCAATTATGTAACTGAACTAATATCAATAATCTTGGATAGCAAAAAACCTAGCTGTGGAGCAATCTGAAATAGGTTAGTCTGCCAGTAACAATGTAGGCTGTTATTTTTAACCAAATGGAAATGTCCAGAGCCCATAAAAGTGCTGTGATGGGTGCAGCTGTGTAACCTTAGATCACACCACTAGGAAAACAGCAGAGCTGTGAGAAGAGCTGAAAGGAACCTCCCCCTCCTCAGAGACAATTTACACTCAGGCCCTCACCCTTGGTCCCTGCCCAAGCTATGTTGCAGCCATGCACACCTCCAGCAAGCCTGAGTGCATCTTCAGCACAAGCAGCTAAACCTTCAGGAGTGCGTGGGTAGGCGTGCAGGGCTCTGACAAGCTGATATTTATATGTCACAGGTGAGCTACAGCAGCAATGGTTTGGAGAAGTACCATTGTCAGATCTAGGAGAAAAACAAAGAAAACACGAGCAGTAGAGGAAAACGAATAAAAAATTTACCTCATAGTTGATAGGAAATAACACCCAAAGAATAAGGTGACTCTTCAAATTCATTTAGGAAAAAAAAAAACAGTATTATTCCTGATTCTGCAGAAAAACTTCCCCCGTTCCTTGACAGCCCTTCACAGTTTAGTAAATGCATAAACGTAAACTGACATAAGCAAAAGAAATCTGAGACAGTACAAATTAATTTCAGAGCCCCAAAAAATACAAATAAAATTGCCAAAGAGAGTTCTCACATAGGATACAAAAATTTTAAAAAGTACTGCAAGATGCCATGAGAGGCTTATTACCATATGCAATTTTGATTTTTAAAATGTTAGCAACATAAACAATAAAGCACAGGGTAATTAAATTCAGAATATGCTGACAGATTGCTGAATCAATTGGGTACTCTGAGCAGACAGTCCACTGGATTCGTGCAGGGATCAGTTCAAGACCTGTTGCTGTTCAGTATTTGCATCAATACTGGAGATGAAACTTTATTTAGAAAGTATTGGCAATAATATCTGTGGTTGTCAGGAACTGAGAGCGTGGTAAACAAGAACAAGGCAGAGCGTGATCTGCCTTGCTTAATTAAAAAAAAAAAAGTAGCAACAGACACTTCTTGTATCAGCTAGGAGGACACAAGTAGAAAAGGCTTTCTTTTAATAACCTACCAAGAGACTCTCAGACAGACAGACAGATAGGAACATCTTTTCTGGAAGTACCTAGGTTTAGCATGTAATTTATCAGATGTCTACCAGCTGAGCAGACATCCTGAGGCAGAATGTGTTGATGGATAATACACGATTATGAAAGAAGATTCATAGTCAGGCAGCAAGAATGATCAAAGGGATAGCAAAGGTGTCCTGTGGAGAAAGTCAGAAGCCACAGGCATGGGTTACTTGAGGAAGAAAACATATAAGGGGAGCTATAATCAAATAATCAGCAATGCATCAGTAACAGCGCAGCAATTCCCTTTCTGTCTCATCCCTAACAAGTGGCTCTTCAATTAAAGATAAATTCAAAATTATGAGAAGGCAATTCTTTCTGCATAGCAAATATTATACATAGAACCCATTGCCACTAAAACCTGCTGACACTAAAGCACACACAAAATCCTGACACATCAGGATTCAAAACAATACGTTCATAGAGTCATTTCTCTTTCTGCTGCTGGCCCTGCTGCCACACCTCCATTAAGGACTTGAGATGATACGTCTGTGGTGGTGCACGCCCCCTCACACGTGGCAATCCCAGAAACAGCCCACATTGTATTCTTGCTTGCACCACAACAATAGTTGGCTGGTGTGCAGTGAATTGGGATGACTTGGCGCTTCCCTTCTGTCTTTATACAAGAGCAGTGAGTTGGGCTCACCAGGCACACCTTGACCGCACCGGGAACTCCTGTTACTGGGAGTCGCAACCGCCTGGTACATTCTGGGCAGTACTCAAATTGTATAGTTGCTGTCTAAATATCAGGATTGCATCATGTGGGTTGTGACCAGGATGGAAAATTACTGATGCCTAAAGTCAATCACCTTCAGACCCTACAAACAGCGGTACCAAGGAAGGCCCTTTGAGCTCTTCTGGTCCACAGCGGGTGTGCCCAGTAACTCCCTCTGACTGGGACACCTCTCAGAGTCACTCACAAACTACCTGGGCTGATCTCCTCGAGACTCAACCTTCACCCGTTGAGAAATCATTTGATTTGAAGCAAGTATTTCACGAACTCAGAGGGAATTTTTATGATTGTGTGCGATTGTGCATTGATTCAAAACATAAATGCTAAGTTAAACAGTGATTAATAGCTGCTAAATTCCTGCGATTCTCTTTCTCTCTTCAAACTGTGAGCACGCCCTGAATTGCCGCTAAGCACATTGCTTAGTCATAAACCACAGTGGTCTAAGGTTGGTTCTGGATCCAGCTGCACCTAGCTTCCTCTCTGAGAAGGAGTTTAGAAAGCAGGGGGGTCCACTCCGAGCCTGGTGACTCAACGGGAGGGTCTTCCTATCCCCTGACACTTTTCTTCCACTTTGTATAAATCATTTTCTACTCAAACCCCCCTTTGACTTTGTATTCCATTCATTTAGGTAGTAGTAGAGTGAATCTTGCCAACAAACTCTGTAAGATCACATTTTCTAAATATTCAGTAAAATCTTTTCTTGCAAAACCTCTGAGTGACCATTTAAGTGACCTAACCACTCATTCGTGACAAATTGGCATAGTGGACAGGATGGCAAGTAGTATCGCTGATTACTTACACAAAAATGGAATAAATCCATTTCCCAAATTCTCGGATGAAAGGGTTCGTGACAACTGGCATGACTGGGAAGCTGTAGAAAAGCAAAGTGGCTAGGACTCATATAAAAGATGGAAAAGAAAACACTTCAAAC